CTTCCCATTTTCCCCCGCTTTGTGCGCCGTAATACCCATCCCGCTGGACTACAAGCTCAGTGAGTTTCAGCCTCCCTGCCCACGTATCCCATCTTTGCCAGGGCTCTCAACATGCCACCAGCGCGCGTTTTCTCGGATTTTGCGGGCATGCCACGCGGCCGTGCCTATTGTTTGAGACGCGCGCTTTGTGCGCCGTAATACCCATCCCGCTGGACTACAAGCTCAGTGAGTTTCAGCCTCCCTGCCCACGTATCCCATCTTTGCCAGGGCTCTCAACATGCCACCAGCGCGCGTTTTCTCGGATTTTGCGGGCATGCCACGCGGCCGTGCCTATTGTTTGAGACGCGCGCTTTGTGCGCCGTAATACCCATCCCGCTGGACTACAAGCTCAGTGAGTTTCAGCCTCCCTGCCCACGTATCCCATCTTTGCCAGGGCTCTCAACATGCCACCAGCGCGCGTTTTCTCGGATTTTGCGGGCATGCCACGCGGCCGTGCCTATTGTTTGAGACGCGCGCTTTGTGCGCCGTAATACCCATCCCGCTGGACTACAAGCTCAGTGAGTTTCAGCCTCCCTGCCCACGTATCCCATCTTTGCCAGGGCTCTCAACATGCCACCAGCGCGCGTTTTCTCGGATTTTGCGGGCATGCCACGCGGCCGTGCCTATTGTTTGAGACGCGCGCTTTGTGCGCCGTAATACCCATCCCGCTGGACTACAAGCTCAGTGAGTTTCAGCCTCCCTGCCCACGTATCCCATCTTTGCCAGGGCTCTCAACATGCCACCAGCGCGCGTTTTCTCGGATTTTGCGGGCATGCCACGCGGCCGTGCCTATTGTTTGAGACGCGCGCTTTGTGCGCCGTAATACCCATCCCGCTGGACTACAAGCTCAGTGAGTTTCAGCCTCCCTGCCCACGTATCCCATCTTTGCCAGGGCTCTCAACATGCCACCAGCGCGCGTTTTCTCGGATTTTGCGGGCATGCCACGCGGCCGTGCCTATTGTTTGAGACGCGCGCTTTGTGCGCCGTAATACCCATCCCGCTGGACTACAAGCTCAGTGAGTTTCAGCCTCCCTGCCCACGTATCCCATCTTTGCCAGGGCTCTCAACATGCCACCAGCGCGCGTTTTCTCGGATTTTGCGGGCATGCCACGCGGCCGTGCCTATTGTTTGAGACGCGCGCTTTGTGCGCCGTAATACCCATCCCGCTGGACTACAAGCTCAGTGAGTTTCAGCCTCCCTGCCCACGTATCCCATCTTTGCCAGGGCTCTCAACATGCCACCAGCGCGCGTTTTCTCGGATTTTGCGGGCATGCCACGCGGCCGTGCCTATTGTTTGAGACGCGCGCTTTGTGCGCCGTAATACCCATCCCGCTGGACTACAAGCTCAGTGAGTTTCAGCCTCCCTGCCCACGTATCCCATCTTTGCCAGGGCTCTCAACATGCCACCAGCGCGCGTTTTCTCGGATTTTGCGGGCATGCCACGCGGCCGTGCCTATTGTTTGAGACGCGCGCTTTGTGCGCCGTAATACCCATCCCGCTGGACTACAAGCTCAGTGAGTTTCAGCCTCCCTGCCCACGTATCCCATCTTTGCCAGGGCTCTCAACATGCCACCAGCGCGCGTTTTCTCGGATTTTGCGGGCATGCCACGCGGCCGTGCCTATTGTTTGAGACGCGCGCTTTGTGCGCCGTAATACCCATCCCGCTGGACTACAAGCTCAGTGAGTTTCAGCCTCCCTGCCCACGTATCCCATCTTTGCCAGGGCTCTCAACATGCCACCAGCGCGCGTTTTCTCGGATTTTGCGGGCATGCCACGCGGCCGTGCCTATTGTTTGAGACGCGCGCTTTGTGCGCCGTAATACCCATCCCGCTGGACTACAAGCTCAGTGAGTTTCAGCCTCCCTGCCCACGTATCCCATCTTTGCCAGGGCTCTCAACATGCCACCAGCGCGCGTTTTCTCGGATTTTGCGGGCATGCCACGCGGCCGTGCCTATTGTTTGAGACGCGCGCTTTGTGCGCCGTAATACCCATCCCGCTGGACTACAAGCTCAGTGAGTTTCAGCCTCCCTGCCCACGTATCCCATCTTTGCCAGGGCTCTCAACATGCCACCAGCGCGCGTTTTCTCGGATTTTGCGGGCATGCCACGCGGCCGTGCCTATTGTTTGAGACGCGCGCTTTGTGCGCCGTAATACCCATCCCGCTGGACTACAAGCTCAGTGAGTTTCAGCCTCCCTGCCCACGTATCCCATCTTTGCCAGGGCTCTCAACATGCCACCAGCGCGCGTTTTCTCGGATTTTGCGGGCATGCCACGCGGCCGTGCCTATTGTTTGAGACGCGCGCTTTGTGCGCCGTAATACCCATCCCGCTGGACTACAAGCTCAGTGAGTTTCAGCCTCCCTGCCCACGTATCCCATCTTTGCCAGGGCTCTCAACATGCCACCAGCGCGCGTTTTCTCGGATTTTGCGGGCATGCCACGCGGCCGTGCCTATTGTTTGAGACGCGCGCTTTGTGCGCCGTAATACCCATCCCGCTGGACTACAAGCTCAGTGAGTTTCAGCCTCCCTGCCCACGTATCCCATCTTTGCCAGGGCTCTCAACATGCCACCAGCGCGCGTTTTCTCGGATTTTGCGGGCATGCCACGCGGCCGTGCCTATTGTTTGAGACGCGCGCTTTGTGCGCCGTAATACCCATCCCGCTGGACTACAAGCTCAGTGAGTTTCAGCCTCCCTGCCCACGTATCCCATCTTTGCCAGGGCTCTCAACATGCCACCAGCGCGCGTTTTCTCGGATTTTGCGGGCATGCCACGCGGCCGTGCCTATTGTTTGAGACGCGCGCTTTGTGCGCCGTAATACCCATCCCGCTGGACTACAAGCTCAGTGAGTTTCAGCCTCCCTGCCCACGTATCCCATCTTTGCCAGGGCTCTCAACATGCCACCAGCGCGCGTTTTCTCGGATTTTGCGGGCATGCCACGCGGCCGTGCCTATTGTTTGAGACGCGCGCTTTGTGCGCCGTAATACCCATCCCGCTGGACTAAAAGCTCAGTGAGTTTCAGCCTCCCTGCCCACGTATCCCATCTTTGCCAGGCCTCTCAACATGCCACCAGCGCGCATTTTCTCGGATTTTGCGGACATGCCACGCGGCCCTGCCTATTGTTTGAGACGCGCGCTTTGTGCGCCGTAATACCCATCCCGCAACATCAGCAGGAAAAAAACCAACTCTTCCCTTTTCCCACCCCCACCTTTTTCTCTCTTCCCTTTTCCCACCCCCACCTTTTTCTCTCTTCCTCTTTTCCCAAAATTTCAACATTTTCGATCCTTACAACGACGACGACGACTCCCGCTTACAACGATATCAGATTCACGGCAAGTTTACGCTAATTCTTAAATCCTGGAGTACAAACAGAGTCCATCGCTTGAGTCAATGCCTACTATTACACCCCTCAAAAGATAGTCAAACAGGACTTTGTAAAAATGGATAACAAAGGAAGAAGTTGAAAAAAAAGGGTTAAAACTTTCAAACAGCAAAATGGAAAACATAATCACAAGCGTTCTACAGGCTCCCTTCCACAGTATAAGTAGTTTTAAAAACTACTTTAAGAATGTATTTCTTGTTTAATATTTTAACCACTCTGCTATTTAGTAACTTAAGTTGAGCAAAACTTGTCCATTTTACGACAATCAAGCTCTCTGCAAATGTCAACCCATTTTTTTAAACCCAGAACCTCCCTTTTTTTTTACCACAGGAATCCCAATATGACGTACACCTCTCTACAGCTAAGGTTACTGAATATCATAAGCAATATGAAGTTTCACTAACCCCTGGCCACTTCCTCCCATGCTCCCACGAGACATTTCTCTTGGTTCCCTTGGAGACAGGGCTTGATCCATTGGTCTGTGGAAAAATAAACTATGTCAACAGTAATCACTGGCTTAAGACTCCTTTATTTCAGCTCTGCTGAATTGTTACAGAAACTTAACATTTTGATTTCGAGCCTGGCTTTCCATTTATAATTGTAACAAAAAGATGACAAAAATGTGTTTGTTATGAAATAATGTAAAATAGTAATATATTAGAAAAATCAATCAAAGCCTGTAACTGGACGCTTAAGAAAATAATACCTGTGGAAGTCACTACACAGCTATTGATAGCTCAATGTGACATGTCAGAGTCACTGTTAGTTGTAAAATCAAGTTATCAAGTTAGGATGGCAATCTCTTTGCTGCTTGACGGCTAGTTTTCCTCAGCCAATTGATTCTATACCACAAGACAAACTCTTTCGCATTCATTCATCCTCAAACCCAAGATGACGTGACACATAATTAACACACACAGTTATCACCAGTGCAACAACACTTAATTGCTCTCTCAGTATGGCGTACAGCATTTTTTTTGTCTTTGAGAACAATAACACGGTCAAAGGGCTTTTAGCACTATAATTGTTGGTTTTTAATATAGTACAAACACCAAATGTTTACTTACACAGAATTGTAGATCATTTACAGCACAAAGGCAAGAATACAGCTTTAACCCTTTTACCACATTAAAAATTTTATCTCAAATTATTACATTTACTTTAACAGTGTACCAATGAAGAGTTTTAAGTACTGTATATCTAGAAGGTTCTGCAGCAGATGGAAAATCCTTACAAAGTACAAATTAACAAGGCTCAGAGAATTAATTTTATACAAGTTTAGCAAGTTATAGACTGACCGTTGTGCTTGGGGACCAGGCCTTGAGGTCATTGTGGGGTCCAACTGTCGACTGAGTATTGTAAGAAGCCAAACAGGGTTAAATTGAATACCCTGCCATATTGTCACGGGCCATAGTGTAAATCTTTATTTTATGGTTTAAAACTGCATATTCATACTGGCATACTAATTAAAATCTGGTTTGGAATGAGAAGGTTAGTTAGACAACTGCCTGCTTCAAATTCAGATAGGACAGGGGTTTCCAAAACACCAATTTATCGTGTGTAAATACCTCACAAAACAAACTTTGTTATCCAAAAAGAAAGTGCGGCACATTTTGTGGTTTCATAGAGGCATATTTAATTGCTTTAGTGGATTAATGTTTTCTACAAGCACAAAATGGTTAAAACACAGGATGTACAAAAAATTATGCATAAAAACTTCCAAAATAGTAAATTCCTTTCAAAATAAATCTTGCATGACGCTAAACACATTAAGGGGGACCTGTCAAAAACTAGCTAGACATCTTTACTGCCCAGAACTCTGTTTCACATTGCTGTAACAGTGACAATTTGTAATACAGCCCACAAAAACAAATAAAAGAAAAAATGGGTTTGCCATGTTATGCAGATTTGTGCATTCCAAATTAGCTTCCTTCGTTTGCAATTTTTGGTCTGTTAGCTATGACCTCTTCTGTACTGTACTTGTGCCTAGACCATTTTATTCACTGACCTCTTACTAAATCTTGATGTAAGCTTGGTAAGAAAGCCTTGCCTTGAGCCAGGGCTATTAGGATCCATGGATCGGTCAGGTCCATTCTGGGTGCGAGGTCGTGTTTGACCACTATGGAATGTACTGCGTGCTGTCACATTTCTTGGTCCTAACCGCGATGGTGGGGGTTGCATGTCTGAGTTGGTGTTTGGATTTGTTCTTCTGCAAGAAATTTATAAATAGTCAGTGTCATGTTGTACCACACACTAAAACATTAAATATTCAGGATTCAAATTAAAAAAATGATGAATTTTTTGCACAAAGGGTCCCATACATTGTTGCAGGCTTAACCAACCATCCTAAAAATATTTAATGCTTGGTACTAAAGACATTGGAGAAAAGGGTGAGGGTTTAAGTTGCACCACACTTTGATGGAACTGATTGTAGTTGGACCAAAGTAAATGGAATACAAAGCACAATAGTTGAAAATGAAGGCAGCTATTGATTTGACTCAAATTTTTTTGGAAGGGAAGAGTGCCTCCATGTAGCAAATATTTCATATGTCTTACACGAAATGTGTTGAATGAGCAAGAAACCTACCAGATGTGTGCATTTGGTTGAGTTGATTAAATGTTGTGTGTTTCAGCACAAGTTTGCAATTGCATTAGGATGTCCACATTTGTTGTTTTCCCAGCTAAACAGAATATTGCAGACTAGAATACATGAATACATGCAGGCTTGTCTCCTTAGTGTAAACTGAAATCTGCTGACTCACCCAGCTCTATGTCTATTTTCCTGATGTATAGCAACTGGTGGAAGAGATCTACGTGTGGGTGAAAGCCTGTTACCAAGATCTGGTGGAGGTTGCTTAGAAATGGGCCTGCCAGAAGCCACACTGCTGCCACTAGGGCCTGGCTCTGTCACACTAAGAAAAGGAAGAGAGATGAACAGGTGAGACACACTGTTCTTTTGAAGAGCTTACTGGCAGAAGCATGCAAATTACTACCATTATCAGCTGAGTGAAGTGCAAAGGAAGTTTGGTGATAGGGTGACCTTCCTATTTCCAATGGTATCTGAATCATAAGAGCAGTGCATTGCTAACAACCAAATGCGAAAGCCTGCCAAAAGAGGTCAAACAAGGCAAGTTGCCTGTGACAACAAAACAGTTTTTATGTCAAGCCATAGTCACCAAACTTGGGTGGTGCCTCACTCAACTGAAAATTGTTGTAACCTAAGCAAGAGAGAGAGAGAGAGCTAGCTACCACAGCTGCAGATTGGAAGTTGGGAAAAGAAAGATGCTAAGTAAAAGTTCCAGAGAGTGGAGGTTGCAACAGTTTCAGCATATGCTGTGATGTAATTCTTTGTTGATTGCATTGGTTAGATTCTGAAATTAGCCATTATACATGTATGCTTGGAGTCCCTTTTCCTTTCTGTTTGTACTTGCCTTCTTTGCAAACATCAAATTTCTTTTTTTGCCCCACATTGCCTAACCCTTTGACTCCCAGAAGTGATTGAAATTTAACTTCCCTCTACAAAATCCATATGTCATTGGCAAAAGGAAATGAGCATACTTAAACTTATCACATAAGAGTATTTGTTATCTACTTGTAACCAGTTTACAAGGAAATGTCTACCAGCTGGAGAAGAGAATTAACAATCACATCTTTAGAGCTTAAGGATTAGGCCAAGTTTGGAATTTGATTGGATTTGGGATACACTGTCACTTTACAACGTTTTTGCAAGAACATGTTTCATACCTTTCTCCCTTTCCATTGGTTTGACTTGAGGGTGTTTGTGAGGTGCTGTTTCGGTCTTCTGCCCTTTTTTCTCCATAAACATAAGTGTTGCGTCTGATGATGCTTACTGGCATACTCTGTTGCTGTAAGAATCATGAACAAGTCTTTTCAGCACAGAGGTACATAAAGACCATGTCCAACTCAATGAAATGCAAAGTAAAAATGGTTTAGTTGTCCTCTTTCTCTTTTGAAGTGAGTTGAGGCAATCCAAGATGTCAATTAAGAAATTGAATCAAGATCATATTTCTGCTACATGCATCGAAACTACCGCACTGAACTTGAAGGAAATACAAAATACTTGTATTCATGAAAAGAAGCAATTAAACCAGTATGCAGATGTTTAAGAATACTTTGACTTGAGTCTAATAATTTCCTTAATTCTTGGTTATGATTAGAGATCTGAATGCTTCAAGTATTTGATTTAAAAAAGCTTACCCTTTGGGCTTTTCCTCTCCTGTTTCGATCTGCGGCCCTCTCAGGTATTTCAGCCTTGTTTGGGTTTGATGCTCTTCCAATAGAATTAGGCACACGTTCATCATTTGGGATAGTGTTCTTTATCACACCACTTCTTTCTCTTTCCCCTCTTCCCATTGGTTTTCCTTGGCTGGATGCTGTTCCACCCGTTTCAGTAGCCGCTCTGTGGGGGATTCCACTTGTTAGTAATGGATCAACATAGGTCATTATGCCCCATATATAACCCTAATAAAACTTTATCAAAACTTCAGCAAATTAAACAGATTCCGTAAGTGGTGGTGCTTACATTATGCCGCAACTGCAATAGACACCCACATTTTGTCCAAGCCAGTGCCATACTTATATAACAGGCCCTATATCATCTTACACGCAGCAGAGATAAGATACAATTCCAGAATACCCCAATCAACAAATGAATTATTGTCCACCATACATGGCTGCTACATTAAACAAAAGCCTTAATTAAAAAAACAATTTTAAAACTCGAACAAAACTCTGCAAAGAACCCTCTGAAAATCTTCAATTTCAAAAAGAAGCCCTTTCCCAAGAAATTAAAAATTGCTTTAAGTGAAAAAGAGCAAGGTTATTGTACATTAGCATCAAAACAAAATCATAAAACAAAAAGAGGGAGAAAGCTGCAAAACCAAAGAAAAGAAATGGAAAACAAAACAAAATTTAACAAGAAACAAAACAAAGTAACCAAGACAGGTTAGTACAAAATAAAACAGAGTGCAACCGAGTCATGCTTGCCTGCTAACAGTGTAGCCTGTGCTATGAGGAACACGACCTTCAGTATACCTTCTGGGCAACTCCCTGTCTCCTCTCTCACGCCGAGCACTCGCACGGCTTGGCCGAATGGGTGCAGGAACACCAGATGGCATTGATGTACTTGGTCTGGGGGCACTAGTGTTTTCCATTAGTGGATCACTGGACCCATTCAACTGCAGAGAAATAAACATTTGTCTTTCCTTCAGTTACATCAGAGACAAAAAGAGGTCTTAACCAGAGATTTGACAAAGTCTAAGTGCATTTGTACCACTACAGGATATTTATTTTTAAATAGAAGCTCAAAAAAGTATAAGAGGGCAAGTGCATGCACTTAATAACAAAACATAAACAAAGGAGAGTGGAAAGAAGCCTCAAAAATGTTTGCAAACAAGCTACCCAATGCAAAAGGCATATGCTGCCTTCTGCCTGTAAATATCTGCTGACCTTTAATGCTGGCTTAATTTGATATTTTCTGAGAGAACTCATTTCTTTTTTTAGCAGGTTTATCAAGTAAAGCAATACTCCTTCCAGGTAAGCTGCAGTTTCAGCAATTGTAGAAAAGATGCTGGAAAAACTTTGGGGATTCCATGGTTGGGCAAACCATTTTACACTTGTTAATTTTTTTACAAATTGAAAGGTAACGTTCAGTTACTTACTGTTAATTTTTGTCTCTTTTCATCCAAGAGAAGGTAGGTGGCCATGACTTCATCATATCTGTTATTCGTCAAAGCCTCTCCAATCTCATCTCTTGAGAATCCCATTTGTAGCATAATTTCTACAAAAGGGTTGGAAATAGAGTACATGTAAACCATGTTCTAGTGCTTCTTTTCTCAAAAGTCAGATCTAACAGAGAGTTTAGGCAAAAAACTTAAATGTACATTAAATTCAGACTAAACACAGTACACAGATATTCCTTGCAAGTTCAGAGAATCCTTACCTATTCTTCTCTCATCTTTAAAATCGGGCGTCGGCTCACTATAAGGTTTGAGTTCCTGACTGTCATATCCTAAATTCATCCACTTGTCTGACATAATTTGCTAAAAAAAAAATTATAGGCATGTCCATTAAACTTTGGCACACCTCACCATACATTATGCCCCTAGCTAATGGTCTGGCTAAACAATCAACCCTAAATTGTGGTACACTGAGCTGAATTAAAAAAAAAAAAAAAACTACATGTAGAAGACTGTAAACCTCCCTCTATCAATGTTATAAATTCATAAGGAGTTCTTTAGTTTCCTAATTCTGTAAACCTTTCATTATTATAAAGATAATACATGTGTACTCACCTCTAGTCTGGATCGTTTCATTGGATTTAGCACTAAAAATCTCTTTAATAGATTCTCACAATCTATAAAGAAAATGAAAAACAGAGAGCTGATTAAAAAAGAGAATTTAATTCCACTTTAGATTAAAAACATTTACTGTAAAAAATGCTTAGAAAGCATACTTTGCATCAGTTTATTTACCTGTAGACATATAAAAAGGTATTCTATATTTTCCTCGAAGGACTCTTTCTCTTAATTCCTGCGAAGAAAAATTGAAAATGTAATCATCACATAGTATTCCATTGATTTGGAAAAATTATGGTAAGAGCTGATCTTGATCATAACCTTGGTATGTTGTTTCCTTGTGACACTATCCATACCAACAATAAAACCTACTTCTTCCACAGTTAATTACAAAAATTCAGTAGGTTTTTACTCAAATTGTAATGGTTAAAATGCATAAAACAACCTAGTTACTCTTAACAAACTTATTCTTACTTTTAAATTTTGGCCATCGAACGGGAGAGATCCACTAACTAGAGTGTATAAAATTACACCTAGACTCCACACGTCCACTTCTGGTCCATCATACTTCTTGCCTTGGAACAGTTCTGGTGCAGCATAAGGGGGACTCCCACAAAAACTATCCAGTTTATTTCCAGGAGTAAATTCATTACTAAAACCAAAATCTGCTATCTTTATGTTCATATCTGCATCTAAGAGTAAGTTCTCAGCCTAAAATATAGAGAAGAATCAACAATCAAATGAAATTCATCTCACAAAAAGAAACTTTGTTCTCATTGAGAACTTGTAATGATACATTCAATGATCCTTTCTTCCCTCTCTTCCCTTCGTCGGAGCTCCGACGAAGGGCTAACGCTTGAAACGTCAGCTTTTGTAATCGTTACAGTGGCCAATTTACCACTTCAACTTTGTTGATATATCCAAAACATTTTACACAACAACCCTCTCTAGGTGTCATTCTTGTATGAGAAACCACAATGGTATTAGCATTTACAAGTAAAAACAACTAAAGATAAAACATTACCTTGAGATCTCTATGAATTACATGTTTTTGATGACAGTACTGGACAGCAGATACAATCTAAAAAGATGATGGGAAAAAAAAAAATCAATACTTCTTCCACAAAGCTGCAAACACCTTTACCAGATAATTTTGTTTTCCAGATCTGGATTTTTTTATACAACAATACGCTCAGTAAAATAAAATATGCTCACAAAAATAACAACCTCAACTCATCACTGCTACATGTACAGAGTAGCAAAGAGATTCACAGTATCGAGAGACAATCGGTTTCAATTCTTACAAATTTTGGACAATCACCTGTCTAAATTTGGCTCTGGCCTCCTTCTCTTTCATTCTGCCATGTGCAACAAGGTAGTCAAACACTTCACCTACATTATTCAAGACAAAAGAATCTTTTAAAATTTCATCTTTTTTCCTCTAATAGATTGTAAACAGCAATAGCAAAAAGACTAGAGCTGTTAGACATTAACTTGATAACAGTAATGCCAAGGGGACAACCCTTTGACAAAAAAAAAAAAAAATGTCTCTTATAAAGTTGTCCCTTCAATGAAGGTAATAGATAGGACTTCATTATAGGAGCATTTTTTTGGGTCTGAAACAAGTTTGTGTTCCTTGAGAATAGATTCCAGAATGGAGTTGTCACAAAAAACAGTTTCTACAGCAATACTTTACAATAATAATTCTTCTGTTTGCATCCCTGGATAAGAAGCAACATAATCCATACCTCCGCTTGCATACTCCATAACAAGGTACAGGGTTTTGTCTGTTTCTATGACCTCATACAACTTCACTATGTGGTAATAATATAAGAAGAAAGGATAAATAAAAGGCAAAAAAACAAGACCCATGAAAATCAAAAACTTAACACATTTGGAATAATTCAAATCATATATCCTTACCAATGTTTGGATGGTCAAGAAACTTCATGATCCTGACTTCTCGAAACAACTGTAAAAAAGTCATCAAATAAGTATTGATATGATTTTAAAATGTTAACAGATTTATAAGAGATATCTAAAAAAATTTAGAAAATGTTTTTCCTCAAATTATACAGATATCCTAAAATTACAAATTTCTCATTCTAGGATGTCAAAGGAAAATGGTTTGGTCTTACAACCATTCAGTTATGTTCACAGTTATGTTGCAATTATTGACTTAATTGACACATTTCTTTCATGGATTGATCCTATATGATGAATAGAGGATCAATCCAAGAAACAATCCTAGTTTGCTTGTTTTGTACAAGTATGACTAGCAGCAACTCTGTTCACAAAATGGTTCAATCAATCACTTTATTTAATCACGGAATCCTTATCACTAAAAGAAAAGTGGTCTTCAAAAGAGTCTTGCTTATTAACCCTAAACATGTAGTACCTAATACTTTACAACTATGACTTAAAAACTACAATCTATTAAGAAGAAATCTTTAAGTAAGTTATTAATATTATACAATAGAAGAATAAAAGCTGTTTAAGGTAGTGGCCTGCTTAGCCTCCACTGACAGACTGTTTCATGCTGCTGCACCCCTATAACAAAAGCTCTTTTTGAGGGCCTCAGTATTCGGCCGCAGAATAAACAAGTTGTGTTGGGCACCCCATAAATTATGCCTGAGGATGGTATTTACACTGGTGAATTTGTCACACAGGTATTCGGGTACAAGGTTATTAGCAGTTTTAAACATTAAAGATTTCAACTGTTTTGCACGTCTGTCAGTGAGGCTTTCCCATTTGAGGGCACAAAGAATCTGGGTAGATCTGACATCCCAACCAGACCCTGTTATTATATGTGCCGCCCTGTTTTATAGTTTCTCCAGGTTTTGACTGAGGCCATTTCCGATACATCCCCACACAGCGCTGCAATAGTCGAAATGTGGAAGAACCAGTGACTTATAAACTGTGACCAGGGTACCTTGGGGACATATCTGTCTTAGCCTCCTAAGGGCAGCGAGTACTTTAGCAATTTTACTGGCAACCTTGGAGATATGGGCTTCCCATGAGAGTGTTTGATCCACCTGAACACCAAGACATTTGTAACTATTGACTCTTTCAATTAAGTGGTTCATAAATTAATCACTTTATTGAACAGTGAAGTGGGTAATCATATAAAAGCCAAAGTTGTAAGAGCCAAATAAGTGTCTTTAACTACATGTAGATGTTGCATATGCATTAAAAGGAAACAACCACACAAAAATGGCTTTCAGCTGGGTAGGTTGGATATTCATACTGTTTCATACAAAAAACACATCAATATACAGGCCCTTCAAATTGGAAAATTTTCCTTGTTTCTTTTTCTTTATATTGCACTTGTCTACAGCAACGAAAATCCTTCCAAGACTACGTGTACTTACAAATCCATTAAATATTCTCTATGTGAATTAGTGGATACATAAAAACCTTGTTAAATTTAATACAGATGAAATACTTCCAATACAAAATAATGCAAGTAGCACATTAAATTCACTCGAAGTCAACTGCTGTCACTTCACTGTCGTTAGGGTAATATTGCAAATCATCAGCAAATTAAGTTATTGCTTAAAAAAAAAACTTCTCAGCAACATCTTAACATAAAAGTAGTGTTTTAGGTCCTTTTCTCCTGTTGTGGTAAACTTTTAACACTGTGGCTATAACATGTATGTCCTGTATCTGATCATTATAGCCAAGGAAAAAAATTATTACCCATACAAAATGTGCAACTGACATAAAAATTCTATTCTGTTATTAACAGCATGAATAAGAACTTTCAGCTAAAAATACTGCTTCACATATTCCAAATAACTGAACCTAGATTTCTCCAGTGGTTCATCGTAGGAAAATAACCATCGCATGTGCAAAAAAAAAAAATTCAACTATTCACAAAATATTTAATCAATTCTTTGATCAATGGTATTCTAATTGCCAAGGTTGGGAAAAAAAAAAAAAAAAAAAAAAAAACTACCTCACAGACAAGGCAGCCAACACAATGAATTTGACTTGCATGAAAATTATCCACATGAGTATGTGTGGTTTTCAACTCAAACATTTTCATGAACTGAAAGGGCAGATGCCCACAAACTTGTACACTGATGAGGAGACTTATCAGATGGAATGATAACTTTACAGCAAGGTTATGTTACCATAAAAATGCTACATTTGTCAAGAAATTCTAGCACAAAAATCACTTATAGTAGAGAGAGGATATTTCAACACTTTCTATTTCCTGATTTCACTCTTGAAAAAGGCAACACCATGTACACCTGTGAACAAAAGTTCAATGGTGCTATTATTCCTGTTTTGTTCATAAAGAATGTCTCAAGCTCCTGGAAATTACAAAGACATTTGAATCGAATAAAATGGCCTTTATATTGTTTCCATCTTACTACACTTGGTTGTAAAGGAAGTGGAAACATTCAAAATCATCTAAATTTGCTACTGGACCCTTAAGATTGCCGGTAAGCCAAAAAATGCAAATCTAATTCATTACTCTCTGCCAAGCTGAGGTTCAACAGCCGCGAGGAAAAATATTCAACAGCTTTTACAACATTTCAACTGTGACGTAAATAGCCCTACTAAAACGCAAGCAGGGAGCCGGTTTATAGACGGCACACCAACAAAATATATAATATCATCGACAAGTCGAACGAAAATCTTCGTCGAAATCGCTACTTGACCGCAGAGTTTGTACATAACGCTACATAGACGATTGGATTTTTATCAATACCATCCCACTCACATTATAGCAGAAATCATGTCCATTAATTTGCAAAATGCGCACGCGATTTGTAACGATCCAGAATAAATCAAGGGAAATCTGTGGCGAATTCGAATGCGTTTTTTATTCGCCGAAGTTTAATTCGTATAAGCCAGCCTAAAAAATCTCACCTACACGTGCAATGCAAAATGGACTAACACTTTATTAATAAAACACAACATGGATTACGGACTAAATTTTTCAGTTCGCATCACAACAAATCTTTGTCCTAACGTAGAAAAGGAAGGATCCGCCATCATTTGAGAATTTCGTACTCGCAATATTCGATTTCCTGCATGCAATATTTTCACCAGGATACTAAACGACCTTGTCCTAATGTAAGTTCAGGTGAAAATCGGGTAAATGGAGTAACTTTGTAAAAACAACCGAGGCTAACCATGTAATTTTAGAAACAATTTTTCACCAACTATTGGTTCCTCACTTTGAAAATCATCGATCAAAATGCAACTAAACGAAAATATGAAAAAAGCACTGAGTGGCACTCTAATGCGAAGGTAAGCAGAGATTTTATTAACTAATAATAATATGTAAAAGAAGACTTCGGTTTAGAATACAGAATATTTCCCCACTTGACATTGCCTAACACACGCAGAACAACCATCCTAGATTTCGACTTGAACAATTCTCAGGATTCACCATAAGGTCTAGATCGTATCAGTGGATTTCTCGAAGGAAAGTCCACAAATTCACAATTTTTACGTTCGAAAAAGCAGACTGCTGGGTTCGAAGTTCTCCTTAAAACAAACCGAAGGTTCAACGGTACTTTCGAATACCTAATGATATGCGTCAAGCTACAATGGTGGGTAAACTCAAGCGAACTGACACACGTTTCTTAACACAAATCATTTGGTCGTTAACGTAGTCGAGACATACCTTTTGCAAACTATTCGGGTTCAGCTGTGTCTTGTCGATAATTTTGATAGCCACCTATGGAAGGGGGAAAATATAACATGGTAAAAGGCGTTGGAACCGGTCTGTGTTTAATTATTACATTATCCCTCACAGTGAGCAAATAAGAGAGACGATCGAACGGAAGAATCCACAACCAAATTTACAACTGTAAATAGAGAAGGATAACTTATTTACCTCTTTTCCTGTTGGCACATGCTTGGCGAGTTTTACTTTGGCGAAATTCCCTTTACCGATGGTTTTTATCAAACGATATTTGCCTATATGGACTTCCTCCGCGCCCGAGGTGGATGAGCGATTCCTAGCAGCTCTAGAACTAGAAGATGAAGAACTGTGGCCATCGGGCACCTAAAGAGAGATCAAAATGACAGCAAATAAAGGATTATACCTTCGCCAGCTATCAAAGGATCAACGAAAAGGGTTATAGCGAAAGATTAATTGACAATCGGACGAAAAATTGCGACTCAATCAAGGACCTAGTCGGGAGTTGGCCCATGACTGACGCTGAGGCCGAAACGACATCCTAAGAGTCTCTTTTCGATACGCTTCGAACCGCCTCTATGAATTCTAGTAAAATGGCGAGGGATTCCAGAAAAGCCTCTCGTAACAAATTACAGGAAGACTTCAACTCGATTTCCACCAACAAAAGCCGCAAACCACGAAAGACTCGATGCGCCGTGGTCGAAAACTGTCCGTCTTGTTTAAATACGGCGTCTTGACGAAACAAAGCCAGAATTTTCGAATTTCACCTTTGTAGTACGGACCCTTGTTCGCTCTGGGCCACTATGTTCCATGGGCAAAGAGTGCTTTCAGCCCGCCCGAAGCCGTGCTGCCGTCTTGCCGTACTTCAATTCTGTATTTCCAGCAAAATTTTCCTCAAAACACCACAAAAATCAAATGCTGGTGTCTCGGCTTCAAACATGGAGGCCGGGAAATTATGAAGTGCCACGGCCTCTGCGCACTGCACGAAGCCGGCCCAGGCTCCCGTCACACGCCCCTCGGCCAAACTTGGCTGCGCAGATGAAGCCCATTAGTTTATGATTAGAACTGGCAGAAGCAATCGGAAACGAGAAGGTATGGCTTGCGGATACAGGCGGGAAATACAAAGGATATTCTAGAAAGCGGCCTTGTTCGAGATTTCTAAAAGTTCACTCCTTTTCCTTTAAGGAAATGTTGATTTTCATTTAATGCGTCAATTCTGGGGGCGCTTAGGGATCTGTAGGCGTGGTCAGCTATGGGGGACAAAACCTGAAATCTCTCCCATCTGTCCTCGAACGGATATAAATTTTGGCTCATTTGTATCAGAGATTAACTTCTACATGCCTTCTTTTAAATTTATCGACCTTTCCTACCTCAGATCCGAAGTTAAAAAAGAACCTGTCGGCATTTTGTAAATGTTGAAGGTTGTTTTAAACTGAATGAGGACAAGTTATTTAATCTCGGCCGGTTAGTGAATTGACCCTTAGACACCCAGCGATGCTCATGTCCTCACTCCAAAGTAAATAGTTTTGACCACAGTGCAAAAACCCTTAAAATACTTCAGTTTCCTAACAAAGTTATAAATCAATCAGTCTTGCGGTTATTAAAGTGGTCTGCTATTTCCGGTGTGGTGTATATTGGTCTGTTTGACTTCCTGCGGTTAGCACTGAATATTCTCAAGTAACACGAAGTTTCGACAGCAATATTTCGGCGGAAATCTAAGCAGAACGGGCTCGATGATTCTACGAGAACCGCCAAAATATATAGCTAAATATATAATGTATAAATGCAAATGCTTTTGAAGGTAATGTTGTTCATTAAAGCAGTCTTGTTTCTTAAATGAGTTTTTGCTAATTACAGGATGATGCTTTCTTGACCATTCTGTAAACGTAACTACTTTAGATAGTGATCTTAATCTATTAGACAATGGTAACCGTGAGCCAGGATTAATGGAAATCAATATTCTAGTCACACATTCCGTCTCTCAAAAGCTCAAAATCCACTTTGCCAAGAGTGCTCAAGATCAGTTATGGTACTTACCTCGACAGAGACTAGAGTCGATCTGAGTAATTTAGTGTTTGTCCTAGTCCCAAAATCAGATCATGTTAACGCTGTTGTAGAAGTGATATAAGTTAACTGAATTGAACTCCTTTTGTTCATTTTTTTTTCTGAACTTATTTATCGTGATAATTAGTTTTAACATTATTTAAGTGGGTCATCCAGAACACGTATAGATGGCCGAAAAAGTCCCATACCAAGCTTGAATTGTTAGAAAATAAATTTAAGGCTGTGTTTGATGATTCCATTTTCTCCGAACCGATTTGTATACACATTGTTGTATTTTGAAGTACTTCCTTGAGTCAACAGGTGTTCTGTAAAGTCAGTACTTTCATTCTTCTTTTCGTCGAAGGGATGTGTCAGTACTATTTTTAAACCACTAACCGGCGCATACCTTTGATGTTTTCTTTTTTAACATATCGCGTACAAACATTTACACAAGTCAGTTTCTTCTGATTTCAGTCGTGTTTAAACCAGGGTTATCTCATATATTCCTGCACCAGGTACTACTAGAAAATCAGAATGGAAATCTACCGATAAGAGCTTTCAAAAGTTCACACTTAGGATCTACCCAGTGTGTTAAAAGACGGTCTGATAGGAGAGCTTCCTAAGGCGCAACTCTGAAGTCTTTTAGAAGAGAAAACGCCCTGTAATAAAATTTGAAGAAAAGCACAAGAGTAGTTTTCATTTCTTATGTAGTGTGTTACGTACGTGGATCACAGAATCTAACATCGCCTCTCGAAGAGGAGAAAGCGAGAAGAGAGTCAACCTTTCATGCAAGTGGCTTCCACAACTATGTGGGTTTAGCACTCCTCAGTTCTGATGAAACCCATGATAAAAATCACGGTACTGTCTTGTTTCTCAATAACATTCCTTAGAAACATCGCGGGCTCAAGCTTATCAATAACCAGTTTTCTTTTTTCCGCGGGGTAGAATGTTGCAGAATTATTGCAGACCCGGATTTTTCCTCCCTCAAGGAAGAAAGAAGAGGAAAGAACTTGGTGATAACTCAATTTTACTTAATTAACAATTGTTTATTTTGCCCCGGTCCAATACAAAGTAAGGGTAAACATTTCTTAAGAATAAAATGGAACTGAAACGCCGCTGGCGTCAGATGTCTGGAGACATATCAATGCAGCTGATTCGGATGAAACCATCCGCGGGAAGTGTTTGACAGTAACACCATCAAATATCATAAAAAGTAACCATTTACAATTTAAAACCCACGCAGAGAACGACATAGCAATATAGAACTTTTTAATATTTTGATATAAAAATCGAATTTTGACCGAAGAAATGCATTTATTCAGTTTCTTCGGGCAAAATCATCTCTTAATTGTTCGGACTTACTTTGTCCACATACCCTCCAACACGACAACATTTCCGCCAAGATATTTTGGAGGATTATCACTTTATCCTCAAGGCACCAGATTTACAGATAGATCCGGGATTCGTCGTGGAGCTACAGAAAATATTTGGATTGCCTATAATATTTCTGCTATGACCAAAGAAAATTATCAAATCATAATGCGGTTATAGAGGGAGCGACGCAAACGCAGTCGTGTAGAGTAGTACGTTAGTGATAAGAGAGGGCCGGCAGAGATTCCTGGGATACGTAAATCTATCCTTGTTTCCAATCCTCTCTAAGAAATCGAGGCAAAAATTATAAGTTCTACGCTTTCTATGACTATATTTTCAAAGAGAAGTAAAGGACAATTGTGATCGAATATCAAATAAATATTTTAAAATGCAAGCTACTGTTGGATTTTTGCCAAGAAAAAATTTCAAATACCTCCTTCTCTTTCAGTTCAAGCTTTCGTGACACCTTTTCGCAATTGATTACCTATGATATTACGCTTTTCAATAACTTCGTCATATTCTTTTTTGTTTCGCCGTTCCTCAGTTTAAATTAGAAACTCCCACTCGGACAAAAGCTAAAATTGAAGTCAAAATATCACCTAAAAATAAATGGAAAATTTTATTCTAACTACATTCTTGAAACAAATGGCTCGATAGGAATCAAATACTGCTCCTTTTTTGTAACACAAATGATACAAATCAGTGTAATTAAGAAAGCTATATATTAATGTCTCTCCTGCGGGCAATTTGTTGCCCAGCAACCAGTGGTTGTCACTGGTATCAATACAAAGCTGAGATACCAGGGATAAATTACTGACTTTTCCATTTCTTTTTAGACCAAAAAATCCTGTTGGAAGAGGTTTTATCTATTTCCCTATATCGCGCAATCTAAACTCTGAGAAATCTCGTTCAGCTCTTCCAATGCATTTTTTTCCAGTAGGACACCTTCCGGCGGAGAAACACTTCGAGATAGTATACACAAACAGTAATTAGCTGTTTTTAATGAATTATGACATGGTTGATTGATTTGAAAATGCACGCAGGGAAAATGGTTGTTCTTCGTTCTTATCAAATTTCAAGCCAGTTGTTTTCACACGGGATTTAGTATCTGCATTGTAGATTGTTTAAATATCTTCTTCTCTCCTGCTAAATTTTCGTAGGAGAGAGACGAAAGCTAATATCATAGACCGAATGGAGGGAGACGATATCTCGTTTACATTTCACTTAGTTTGACCGAAGGCCAACAAACTCATTGCTAAAGCTCGGCCTAAAAAGAACTTCACTTCTCGAGAAAACTTGCAACAACAACTCAAGATCTTTTTTTTACCCCCAGAGGCTATTTGATGGTGTAACATGTGGTCTTTGCGGTTTTCTAAACATATGTACTGTGGTTAAGAAATGCATAGAACAAAATGCTTACACGCTGAACAAGCAAACAGGGTGATGGGTACGACACCTGTAACCTCAACAACAGGGAATCAACTCGCACAGGTTTGAGGAGTTAGCGACTTGAAAACTAGCAAGTCTTTTTAACCACATGAAGCCTTCATAGCATCCACTCTTTTCACCTGCCGGAACTAAATTATCCCAGACAATAACGGAATAAAATTCACACAGCAGTTAGCTTACGCATTTGTAATTTATTCTCCTGAGCTTTCTGATTGGCTAACATGAGGCGCGCAGTAGCTACAAACCAATCAGAACAACGACGCTATATTTTAACTAATCATGAGCAGGGTCAAAATTGTTCACATGTTGGGTTTTGTTCTCGCTTAATTTTCCCTCGCTAAGACCGCTTGATTTGCATGTATTAATTTACCTGAAAGTTGTAACCAAGTTTTCATTTCCTTTTCTTGACACTTTAATTTTAATGTTTTGGCAGAAGGTAATGCTTTTCCTTTCAACTGAATTGTAATTTTTTTGTAACTCTAGACTAAAAATCAATGTTTGAGCGATTCCTAGTAACAACTTCATCTTCAGTTTTCAGAGCACTTCTTGGAAAACAGACCTGGAAATCATTTATGTAACTTATAAAGGTGTTATTATTTATTCTGACAAAAGAGGCGGCATTTCATATTAAAGTGGCTCTGTCATCTTTATTTTTAGCTCACCTTTCACTTCCCTCTCAGACCGTTTATTTAGATACTCGAGATTAACAAGTTTATAATCGACAATGTTATTTACCTAAAGATTATATTTTGCTTTTGTTCTAATTGTTTTTTCAGGTAATGAATCCTTTTAAAAAAGCACCGGAAAAAATCTGAATCGATCATGCTTTTCCTGGCCGAATTTTTTGCTTATCATTTCACTGTTTTCAAAAGAACAAAAGAGTGAGTAAAAATTTCGAGCCAACGTTGCTAAGACAGACGCTGGAACCAGATAGTGAGAAACTCGTTTGGTTTTATCCCTCTATTTTGATTAAGTTTTTCTTTAGCTGCTTGTTTAATTTGTGATCGTATACCAGGAAATTAGATTCGGCTCATAAACTTAACATCGCGCAATACTTTATTTTTGATCAGGCACTATCAACAATTGGTCCAAAGAGA